AGAGGTCTCGGACCCTGGGGAGGGGTGGAGCCAGACCCAGGGGCAAGAATGCAAGGCCAGGCGTTAGCAAGCATGCAGGGCTTCTGTAGAGGACAGGATGGCCAGACAGGAGGAGGGGCTGCCTCAGACGGTCCATCAGCCCAGCAAGAGCCACTGGGGAGGGCAGGGCAGTGCACACCAGGACCCTTTGCCTCAGGGTTCACATGAAGTTCCCACAGGCCCACCCCAGGGCAGTCAAGGTGTGGTCCAGAGATTAAAGAAGGAAAGACCCTGAGAAGGGATGGCAGTAGCTGCCTGCCCCACCCCCTACCCTCAGACCCTCTAAGCATAGCCCAGCCCAGCCAAGTGGCAGTTAGGTCATACCTTCTAACCCAGGGCAGACGCAGAAGGTGGAGTTCCACAAGCTCCGCAGCAAGTTCCCACGAGGCCACACGGCCCAGAGCCTGTGAACTTCGTGCATTTAGAGCTAAGGTGTTCCCCCCAGATGGTTGTGGATGGGGCTTGGGCAGCCAACATCATGCTTCCTGAGACTCTTTCCTTCCCTGGACTCTGGCTGGGGCTCTTACCTGGTCTGGCACAAGCCTTCCACTCCCCCAACTCACCTGTCCTTCCTGAAAGTCAGGCCCTGGGCTCCAGGGCGTGGGTGCCAGTCACAACCCTGCCCTGGCCTTAGACTGGGGGCAGCTGCTGGAGGCTCAGAGCAGAGAGGAAAGGACAATGTAGGGTACCCATTCAGGAAGCTTCCCAGCTGTCAGTTCTGCCAGCAGAAATGCCAGCCAGAGAGCTAAATTGCCAGCAACAGACAGACCGTTGGATGGAACTTTGGAGCCCATTAAGAGCAGGGGCTGCAAAGTGATCATAGTGAGAAGATATTAAAGGAATTCATCATGTTTCTAAAATGAATGTCCTTAGCACAGAGGTAGCTCTTTCTGTTGCCACCCTCCCCAGCGTAGATCATGCCCCCATGCACCCGGGAAGGGTGCCACAGCTTGCCCTGCCCCTGCTTTAGCTCCTTGAGGTGGGTGGACAGTGGCTTCTGCATCTGGGTGGCTCACCCAAGGTCACCAGGTCCCTTTGGGACTATCAGGCAAGTTCAGCCGCCAGTGTCAGTTTTCATTTAGGGGAGACAGGCCTATATATTCTCATTGGCACAGGAAGCCTAGTACATATATACACTTGAGAAAAAGACAGAAAGAGGCTGGAGGCTTCTGGGTGTGGTCATTTCCTTCTGCTGAAGTTCAGGGTGGCAGAGGGACACATCTGTCCAGCGGCCAGGCAGGAGAGTCCAGTGGACTTTTCCTGAACACCTAACTGGGCCCAGATGGTGCTGCCAGCTGGAGCTGGGGTTCTCTCTCCAGGATCTGGAGTGGATAGACCTGTTGCGTTGATTTAATAGCAAGTTCTCCTGGAAGAACCCTGGGATTCTGCCCCCATGGCACACTAAACCGGACTCCACTGCTCCCTGTGGCAGCTGTGTGCACGCATGGCATGGGGGAGGGGAGTTTCCTCCTTGGTCCCTTCAGCAGCTGTGAGGGCTGAGGGCCAAGAACTCTCACCCTGTTTAGGAGTGCTGGTCCTTGGGGCCCCTGTACCCCAGTGCTCTAGACCTCATCATTCCACCACCTTCCCAAAGGAGAGGGGCACCCTCTCCCCCGTTATACACATCACGAAACTAAGGCTGAGACATGCTGGAAGTCTAGAAAGGCAGAAGGGCCCCAGTCCTGCAGGAACCCATGGTCTCTGCAGCTAGATTCTACCTCCTTCCTGCCTCAGGACCCCAAGGGCTTAGCAACCTCAACTTTCTCAATTCACGCTCCCAGACCCTCAGACGTTCGCACCTGCCTCCCAGCCCCATCAGCAGAGAGATGGATGGTCCCATCAGGGTGAGGGGCACTGGCCCAGGCCACCCCAAGAGCAGGAAGGGACAGGTGTGGAACAGCCCAAAAGAGAGGGGGAGGAAGGGATCTTCTCCAAAGAGTGCCTGTCTCCTAGGGCTGGGGGCTCAGGGTGAGTGGGCAGCTACCCCCCTGGAGCCCAGGCCCCGAGGGGCTCCTCCAAGCAGGTAGTAAGCAGGTGTACAGCCCCACTTCCCCAGCAGTGCCTGCATGTGGGCCTGATGGCGCCTGGCCCATTCTGGGTCTGTGAAGGACAGATGGCTTGATTGAGGGACTTCAGGCAGGGTGCTGGCTCATGACTCAGTGAGAGGGTGGTGGAAACTGAGGCCCCCCTCTGCCCCTCATACCCAGTGCCATGTGGGTGGCCTCATGCCCTCATCAGAAATGGAGGAGGGATATCCCCACCCCCCCTCCCGACTTCTCTGTGTCACATGACATACCTGTCCTGGGTGGCAGTCAGAGTTGGCACAAAGAGGCAAATTACCATCACCTCCCCCACCAGCTGCTCCCAGGGACCTGACCCCACGCGGTCAAGTCATATCAGACAGTCCCTGGCACCAGGAACCTCTGAGCAGTACAGAGTTAAGAGAACGGACTGGGGACAGATACCCTTGGGTTGAAATTCTGGCTCCACCGCTCAAAAGCTATAAGACCCTGAGCTGATTCCTTAACCAGTCTGAGCCTCATCTGTTTCCTCATCTGTAAAGTGAGAATAATAACAGTATAGTACTTCTGTCCCAGGGTGGTTGTGAAGACTTGAGTGATGACATGTGTAAATAGCTTAGCATGGGGTCTGGCCCACCTGAAGCATTCAATAATCGGCAGGCATTATTATTACTATTATTAGAGGAGGGCAGTCATCCAGAGAAAGGACGCTGAGGAAGCTTTTCAAGTCACAGAGCAGAAAGGTGCCAGGAAAGGATAATGTGTTTGTGTTTCTAAACCACAAGTTGATCTGTATCTTTCCTCTTTGGCCCTAACCTGGGTTCTCAGCCCTGGCTGTAGGTACTCAGATGTTACAACAGGCCCCAAGAGCCACAGGCTGAGAGCCAGGAAGTGCCTGCCCTGCCCACGTGCCCTCCCTGACACCCTCCCAGACCAGGCTGGTTGACCAATGCCTCAGAGCTGGCGGAGCTCCGAGAGCCATTGCCCATGGTGAAATGCCACTTCTCAGTGCCCCTGTCCAGCACTCCTGCCCAATTTGTGCAATGGCAGTGTGTGGACAACGCCCTTGACCAGAAGGCCTATGCCAGCTGCCAAGGTTCTTCAAAGGAGGGTGTGCCTGGTCCCTCTCCCTGCGCTTGGCATGGCAACCTGGGAATAGGCCAGAAAGAGGCATGTGGATGCTGGAGGAGAAGCTGTCTCTAGACTGTTCCTGCCACTTCCTGAACTGTTGCTCTGCCCCTTCCTCCTGGGCAGGGCCGAGTTGGGTATGGATCAGAGGAAGATGGAGACGGGGGTTGGGGGAGAGTCACACACAGAAATTAATCACTCAGGACCCATTCTGCACATCCCAGCCATTCCAATATGCAGAGGGTCACCCGACCCTCTGCAGCCGACCCGCCGTAGACCCACTTGGAAGGGTAGAAATGTGGGGTTGTGATGCACCCAAGAGACCCCCTACTCTAGTCTGGTATCCACTATGGGAACCTTTTCTCTAGCATATCTGACTGACAGTTATCTGCTTCTTGAATACGTTCAGTGATGGGAGATTCATTACCTCCTCAGTCAGTCTTATTTGGGAGTCCTGTCTCCCTCAAGGCACCAAATGCCATTGCAGCTCTCAAAGGTGACAGGCCCCCCAAGGTACCCTAGATTCTCTCCCTTTGGGGTAAGGAGGGGACTGGGTGTGTAGCCTTTTTGGGATACCCAAGCCTGAATTAAACCAAATTAAATACCAGTTCATTTCTGATAATATTCTAATGTTCACACTTTATTGTAGTTTAACAATTCAAAAGTACTGCTTGGAGCCGTGGTTTTGGTATATAAAGTATTTGTATCGAAAGGAAATAATTCATGTGTGTCGGTAAAAAATAATTTAGGGTGTTGATTCTAGGTTCAATAAAGTAATGCATTTCATTCTAGCTTTGGTTCTTGGTTCATTTCAAATCCTCAGCAACCAATTCCCATACCCACCCCCCAACCCAGCACAACCTCCTTCCCATAGCCAGCGCGTCTCCACCTGGCATCACCATGCCTTCCCCAGGAGGCTGAGGACATCAGGGCTTTGGATGCAGCCAGACAGGGTGCAGGCCTGTTTGGGGTAGTGAATTCCCACTGGCCACCTCAGCTCTGTTTGGTGGGAGCCTAGAGTAAACTGTGCATAAGCAATTGAGCCTATAATGCAAATTCTTTATCCATAAATTGCACTGATATGTCTGAAGAATCAGTGAATAAAAACAATACATGGCAATAGTGACCTCAGTACCTAAAGTTTGAGGTGACCAACAATGACAGAAATTCCTCCACTTCCTCCTTCGGGGCAGCCGTTTGAGGTCTAGATATACAGAATTTCCATGCCAGACTCCCCTCAGCACTCGGGTGGACACAGCCCTCCCTGGGGACCTGGAAGTCTTCCCACTTCCTTGTTTGGGGAAGAGACAGATGGCCCCTGCCCTCCTCCACAACATATAAACACAGGAGAAACCACCCTCCAATCCAGAAGCAGCAGAGCAAAGGGCAGCCCAGAGTGAGCCACTTGGGACAGCCATCCTAATCCTAGGCCAGGACACTGCTGGGGACAGCTAGGAGATGCTGACTCTGGAACCGTGCCTTATCCTCTGTTTGGGGGTGCAGGGCTCCTGGAAGCTTTCTTTTCCTCGAGGTCCCTTACAATCCTGAGGCCCGAGGGCTCTCAGTACTGGTCAGGGTCTGACAAGGGAATTGGAATCGCTTTAAATCCCACTTTTCTGCCTGCACAAGGGGGCTAACCCAAGACAGCCATAGGGCCTTGTCGCGCGATGGGACAGGACAGGCCAAGGTGGTAGGTTTCAGGATTCCAGCCGGGCTCTCCAGGGTGGGCGGGTGGGACGCGCCGCCCGAGTGTGCGTCTGCAGCGCAAATTAAGGAGCTAATTACACAGAGGCGCTCGGCGGACAGTCAAGGTCAGGCCTCTAGGCCGCAGCCCAGGGTCCGAGGGGCCACGTGTACGTCACAGCGGGCTGCCGGGGCCAGCACCGGAAGGCAAAGGGCCGGCGGGAGCCGGAGCCGAGCGGGTAGGGTGAAAGGGTTGAGAAAGGGGGTGCCCCTCGGGCAGAGAGGCTCCTGGCCGCGGCCCCTGCGCCCCTCGGCGGCTTCTCCCGGGCTCTGCGTTCGCGGCGTTCTACCTGAGGCCACACCCCGAAATCAAACTCGCGGCAGGTGAAGCCGGCGCTGCACAAACATGTAAGCGCGGCCTCCCCTCGTTGTTCCCGGCGCCTCCCGGCGGAGGGCGGGCCGGGCTCCCGCGGCCTCTCCCTGAGCTCCGGGCGCTTCCCGCTCGGCAGGTGGGTGCCCCGACCACCGGGGTGCTGCAAGCCCTGCCCGGGTAGGGGCCGGGACGGGGAACAGGCCTCCCCGCACGCGCGGCTCCCGGTTCTCGGGTGTTCATTCCCCGAAGTGCGGGGCCGCCGGCGAGGGCCGAGGGGAGTAGGCGGCGCCGGCAGCGGACCTCGCTCCGCGTGGGCGCCCGGCCCTCGCGCCCAGGCTGGCGTGGGGCTTCGTCCCAGAGGGCGCCTCACTCGGGCGGCCGAGGCGGGGCCGGTGGCCGCGCCGGGTCGGAGCTAGGAGAGCAGAGGGGCCGGAAGCCCTGAGCCCGCTGTGTCCCCGTGCGCCCTGCGGGGAGCCCGCCGCCTCCGCTCGCTCGCACCTGAGAAGGTGGCTCAGCCGTAGGCGGGCGGCCGGGGCGGGGGGGAGGCGGGTTCCGAATGCTCTGGATTCCGGCCAGTCGCGAAATCCGCGGGGACACTTACTACATCGGTCACAATGAATTTCTGACCTGTTTCCACCCAGGCCTCGGAGGACCGGCCCGCGAAGGTGCCCAGTTCCCTCTCCTTGGTGCCTGAGAGCTCTGCCCACTGAAGAGTGAGGAGTCCGGAGAAAGAGGAGGCAGGGAAGGCGGCCCGGAGGTGAGTAGCCCTGGGAGGGTGTCCAGGGGCCTCTCGGGACCTCCGTGAAGGACAGGCTGGGACAGTGGGCGGGCAGGTGGCCCTCCTGGGCTGGCCCGTTCTCGGTACTGTTAGGCAGTGGTCCCTACTAGGTGCCATTTCTCAGTCCTTAGTGGATGGGCCTTGTTACTTCACCCTCCTCGGCCCACTGGAGGCGCGCACGGCTTCAAATGCCCCGCCCTGGCTCCTGGCCCAGCCTCCGCCTGTCCTCCCGTCCACTGCCGGTCAGGGGTGAGGCAGTGTCACCAAGGCTAGCGCACTAAATTCTTGTTTGGGAAAGAGACTCCCAAACAGGAAGGGCAGAAGCAGTCCCAGCGTCCGTGCTGAGCAGGCCAGGAGGCAGCCCCAGCCAGAGGTGCTGCTGGGCAGATCCCAGCCTGCCGTCAGTTCATTCCCCAGCTGCCCAACCTGCTAAAATCTCTCCAGCTTTGCCCACACCCAGTGGGCGGCATCCACCCTGGGAGGGAGATGCTGCTGGGAGCACCAAGGGCTAAGACACGAGGAGTTCCCAGGGTGTAGGCTATGTTTTCTGTATCTTGCCCCATTCTGGTGCGAGCTCTGCTGTGAGTTCTCCTCAGGCCATATATAGGACAGGGGTAGAGAACACATTTGGAACCAGAAAGAGCTGGGTTCGAATTCTGACATTTTGCCTTTGATTCCTTAAGCAAGTTTCTTTACTTCTCTCCCAACTTTAATGTCCTTATCTATAACATGGGGGTGATCATGCCTTCCTCACAGGGCAGTTGTTAGAAGTCACAATGATAACTGATAAAGGAGAACAGCCCCAGCAGGAGGCTAGCCTCCTGCCTAGCCTCCAGTTTTGGGAAAGGTTAAGCTCCCCGAGCCCTCCTCTCTGGGAGAACTTTGAGAATGGTCTGGCTGTGTGGCAAGAGATTGTGGAGGACATTAGAGCAAAGCAATGGAAATAAAGTAACGGCAGATGGTCTGTGCAGTGGTAGTAAGGTGGCCCCAGAGAAGAGGCCATTTCTGGAAGGGAATCTCGCTTTGGAAGCAGAAACAGCAGCGTGCTCTGTACACATCACACGGCTTCATCTGTCCATAGGTGACCCTAGACACACTGTTACCACCTGCACAGCCTGGAGCAGAGAGAGAGAGACTCTGGCTTGAGGCTTCCAGTCCTGCCTCTGCCCAGAGTAGTTGTGTGATCTGGGGCAGGCCATTTGACTTCTCTGGGTGCACTAGGCATGGTGCAAGAGCTTGGAGCTTGGATTTGATTCCCAGCTACACACTCACCATATCAGACTATTACTTCTCTCTCAGCCTCAGTTTCTTCACCTGTAAAATTAAGCTCATAAAACCTACCTCGTAGAGTCTTGACCATTAAAGGCAGTAGTGAAAAGCGCCTAGTACAGTGTCTGACACATGCAAGGCACTTTATACACGTGTATGTGTAGCTTCCCTTTCTCAGCTCCTCCTTCCTCTCCCCAGTCACTTGCCGTTCTTACAATGCACCCAGTAAAACAGGTTTGGCCCATGTCACTGCAGTATTGTGAACTTGGAGTGATGAGGGGAACAATATAGTGATACAGAAGGTTAAGGGCTGTGAAAACATAATCTTTTTGTGACCAGGGGACTTAATCCTGTGACTTGGGGACTCTGGAGATTCTTTCTGGCTAGGCACTGAGGGCTCTGTGATGAGGTCTTGAGCCTCTATATGTGGAAGCTGTTGAAAATCTGGGGTAGGCTTCCCTGGTGGCTCAGTGGTTGGGAGTCCGCCTGCCGATGCAGGGGACACGGGTTCGTGCCCCGGTCCGGGAAAATACCACATGCCGCGGAGCGGCTGGGCCCGTGAGCCATGGCCGCTGAGCCTGCTCGTCCGTAGCCTGTGCTCTGCAACGGGAGAGGCCACAACAGTGAGAGGCCCGCGTACCGCAAAAAAAAAAAAAAAGAAGAAAGAAAAAAAAAGAAAATCTGAGGTAGTGAAGAGGTGGCTGGCCTGCAGCTCTCCCAGTCTTCACGCCTCCCTTGGAGATTATGCCATGCCCAGGAAACCCCAGTGCTGCGGACTGCGGAAGCGGTTAGGATTCCAAGTACAGCGAACAGAGGTCAGAGGGCTGCTCTGGCTTGAGCCGCTGCCGGGCGGTGGCAGCACAGCACTTGCAGGCTGGAGCTGGGCCCAAAAGGCAGGCCTGAGTCAACATTGACCTTCCCTGGCTGGCCAGCCTAGCTCTTCGGCCTCTCATTCAGCTGGAGTGTTGACACAAGTGATTGAATGAGACTTATCATATTCTTTTCAACAACAGCCCCATTATCTTTCCCCTGGGGATTCACTGGGACCTGTAGTGTGGGAATGACAACAAGGGTGGGGAGCCCGGACATTTTGGCGTGTTCTGTGCACAGTGCCCCCTGCCCTGCACACTCAGCTTCTCTCTGGGCCACTCGAGTGCGTCAGAGGAACCTCAGGGTACTGCTCTACATCCCGGGGATGCTCCACACTTCCACACAGCGGCCCTGGGAAGATCTTAAATAGTGCCTGTGGGCAGTGGCAGTAAGGGCCACAGCCTGGGTCTAGGCCCCATCCACCCTACAGGGGACAACTGGGCAGAAGAGCAAATGAAATTCTCTTGGAAAAGCCAGCTAAACTGCACGAGAGCAAGGATTTTGTTTTGATCACCATGGTCCCCAGAGCCTGGAGCAGAGCAGATGCACAACAAATGAATTTATCAAATAAGTGAATGAATAATATAATTTCATATTTAAACTAACTCCAGAAACTAAAATTTGAGAAAGATCTTCCTGGCTGATAATATTCCAGTGAAAGGCTGGCTTCTGTCCAGGATATTCTCAACCAGGGGTCGTAGAGGCACATTCCTCTTCACGGAAGGGTGTGGGATGTCAGTTCCCAAAGGGCGTTATGAAGAGGTTGGGCAGCAGACCTCGGGGTGAAAGGGCCCAGCTCTGGAGGTGGCAGGGTCCCCCATCAGCCCCTCTGTGACTGGATGGTAGCAGTAGTGGGGGTACCTTTGTAAGTGCTCTAGGACTCAGGGGCTTACCTCTATCTCGATGTCACAGAGCGTCTTGCGTGGGTCTGAGAATGACAGGCTGGGGTGGTGGAAGGTGACAGCTAACTGCAGCCTTGTTCACATCTGGATCAGACTAACAGGGGTCTTCCCCTTCTTTGCTGCTCCACTTGGGCAAATCACTTAATCTCTCTGAACAAGGGTTTCCTCATCTGCATAATGGGTACAATAATAGGCCCACCTCACCGGCTTGCAGCGAGGATTCTGTGTGAGAAATGCTCAGCCCAGAGCCTGGTGCTTATACTACACACTCCCTGAGTGACAATTACTAAAATTACCCCAAACAGCCCCTCCAACTAGGACAGATGCTCTTTCTTTCCTCACTGTAACTGGAGAAGCTGGCAGAAGTGAATAAGTCCATGCCCCTGTTGGCCCCGGAAATGTTGAGGCTTAGAAAGGAAAAGTGGGCCAGGATCACAAGCGGAACTCAGAAGCGCCGCGCCCCAGGTCCACGCTGAGCCCGCACTCAGCCCTGACAAGCCGACCGTGCCTCCCTCAAGGGGAGCCTAGGTGTGCACCCCACTCTCACTCTCTGGCCCTCAGAGGGAACAGGGCCCCAGGTGCAGCTGCCTTCTCTTCCCACTCGTCTGGAAATGGAGGGGAATCCCACCAGCCTCATCGTAACAGACAGTTTACATCCCAGAACTCACACAGCCAACCAAATCCTCCTCCCTTCAGAGTGGCTGCAAGCTCCTTCAGACTTGCTTTCTGGAAACCACCTTCCCAGCCTGTAGTGCGTTCTTGTGAATCCCTTCAGTGGGCTGAGTGTCCTTTCCTTGAAAGGAATTCGATGTGTGGGAACAGCCAAAACTCACTGGAAGCTGGGTCTAGGCGGCAAGGCAACCTCGTTGGACACCAGCTCTTCTGGTGAAAAGCAGAGGCCACAGGTTAGGAAAACACTTGATGCTGGCCCAAGATGGGCCCCAAAGTTGATTCCCAAGAGGACTTCTGAAAGTCCTGGAGCACGTCTGCAACAAGCAGTTTCACTCCCAAGGGTCTGCCTCAAATGGCAGTGCTCACTGGAAGGTCTGTGCTCTGGTTTGAGGTTTAAGTGCAGGCTCATTTCTCTACGGTTCTGGTTGGGGAACCAACAGCTTGGTGGCCCTGGAGCCCCAGGCCCTGGCAGACAGATGTCTCCTCCCCAAGAGGAAAAGCAGTTTGAGGGGGTGACCCACCCAGCACAGCTATCTGCTGTCCCTGTTGTAGACCCTGGACCAGGTGAGCCACAGTGCCTGGTCTGGGGGCCCTCACCACCCAGACTCCATGGCACCGTGGAACACTGAAGCCAGGCCTGCTGGTTGCCTGACTTGAGGCTGAGACCCTACTGAGGGGACGTGGACCTGTGCTGGAGAAAATACCCTCCTGCTGTTTCTGCGGCTCTTTCCATGTGTGTCAGGCCCTGACATCACAGCTGCCAAGGCAAGCTCCTTAGAACACCCCACCACCACCACTGCAGGGCAAAAAAACCAGACAAACAACCCCTGGTTCCAAACAAAGAAAGGGTCAGCCTGCAAGTCAAGACAGCGCTAGTCTCCCTTGGCCTCTGACTCACGGATCAGCCCAGGAAAGAACCTAGTAATCTTGGTTGAGGGAGCTGGCCCTGGCCCATCCCCTTCTACACAGACTGCCCAGCCCCCTTCCTGTTCACAGAGACCCCTGGGAAGGAGATTAACAACAGCCCGAGTCCCTCTGAGTGGGCATGGTGGACAGAGCAGGGCTTTGGAACCAGATCTGGGTTTAAACACCAACTCGGTCATTTCCTGGTTCTGTGACCCTGGGTAAGTTATTCAGCCTCCCTGAGCCTCATCTGGACTTGTGGATAATAATAATAGCTCCTACCTCCCAGGCTCATTGTGAGGATTAAATTAGTTGGTGCTAGGAAAGGGCCTAGCATGTAGTAGGTGCTCAAGAAAAGTTACTTCCCTTTCTCTCTGGAGTCTCCTGCTCCTCTGACATGATAGTCCCACCCCTCAGTGACCCCAGGCCTGTGGCTCCCTGAACTCTCCCACCACCTCCACCGTCAGTTTTACTGGGTGTGACAGCATTTCCTCCAGAAGCCTCTGCCAGGAACTGACCTGCTCCCCATCTGCCAGGCTCTGGCTGGAGGAAGCAGCCTCAGCAGGAGCTGTGCCGGGGGTGGGGGGTGGGGGGGTGGGTGTGGAGCTTCCTTCTAAAGCTGGTTGGGGCAGGGCTCTCCCCTCCCCTCCCCTCCCCTCCCCAGTGATGGGCATCCTTCTCTGGTCCAGTCATGGGCCAGCCTGCTGGCTGGAAGGTGATGTCCTCGGCCATTCTCTGAAGAGGAATGTTCAAAGCATTCCTCAGTCGTAAAGGTGCATCCCAGCCTGAGAAAGACTCCTCAGCACCTCCCCCCACTGCGTTGGAGGGGCTCAGGAAGCAGAGGTCCCCCTGAGCCAGAGTTGGCGCCCTGCCTCTGCCCATTTCTACTTCAGTGGCCAAGGCACACATCATTTCTGTCAGGCTAGGCAGAAGGAAAGGCAGGGACTGGCTCTCTGAGGGAACAGCATCCTCCTTCCTCCTCCAGAGTACCTTCTTTAGGGAAAGCTCTTTCACTAGGTGAGTGGAGTGTAGATGCAAAGAGGTGGTGCTTCTCGGATGGCAGTTTTAAAGGCGGGCATGGCCTGATTTGATTTAACCTCACAGCTGACTCAGCACCCCCTCTCCCTCAGCCCCGACGTCCTGGGGCTTGTCAGAAGGCGGGAAACTGGGTGGAAGACGGAGACCTAGGAATGGCAAGTGAGGGCCCCTGTCTGGGCATTTGTGTATGTGTCCAGGACATGGAGCTGGAGAGATGCAGGGGATGCTTGGGTCTCAGGTGATTGACACCCAGTGACCTGGCAACATCGGATACTTAAGTGGGTGAGTATCTCTAAGGAAACTCAGTGCTCGTGGATCACTCTTTTCTTTATTTAAAAATATTTTGTTTTCTTTAGAAAGGCAGCCCATCATCTTTAAGGAAAGTTCAGAAGAGTAGAAAGATGGGGTAGGAGGAAGTCACCTGGAACCCCACCAGTCAAACACAACAACAATGAATATTTTGCTGTATTTCCTTCAAATATTCATTACATTCATACTGCATTTACAAATTAGTCTAGGTGAAATCTTGAGAAAGAATTTCCTACTCCTAACCTAGGCCTGCTTTGGACAAGAAAACCTTGATAGTTTAACTTGTCCTCGGGACCCCATGGGTGTGGATAGGTTTGGGCCCCAGCAGGTCAGGGGCTCCAGGAGAGCCCATCAAATTTAGGCACGCCGTAGTCACTCACACCAGACCTGGGGCAGGGGATGGCCAGACTAGGTGTTACCCTCTCTCCTGCCCCCCACCATCACTCCCACCAGCTTTATTATTTTTACCTTTCACATTTAGATCCAGTTAGTTTGGGGATATGATATGAATTCATTTTTCCAGACTTCTTTTTTTTTTTCACATGGATATCTAATTGCTTCAGCTACCATATTGCAGTGTCACCTTTGTCATAAATTAAGTGACCTTATGCGAGTGGGTCTATTTCTGGATTCTCTCTTCTGTTCCACTGGCCCACTCATCAGTCTTTGTGCCAGTTTCACACTGTATTAATTGTGGTTGCTTTATAATAAATCTTGATATCTAGTAGTGTAAGCCTCCAACTTTGTTCTTCAAAATTGTTTTGACTATTCCTGATTCTTTGTTTCTCTGTACATTTTAGAATCAGTTTGTCAATTTCTACCAAAAGAAGTATGCTGGGATTTTGATTGCAATAACTCTGTAGGTTAATTTGGGAATAACTGATACCTTTATAATATTGAGGCTTCCAGTCTATGAACATTCTTTATCATCTTTAATGTCTGGTATTTTTCAATGTAGAGACCTTGCTCATCTTTGATTAGATTTATTCCTAGGTATTTGATATTTTTAATGTAAAGTGGGAAAGGGTATCTGAGGGGTTTTTCCCTAATAACACTTCCAACAGCAAATGAGAGGGTTTTTCTCCTCCTGAGATCATTTCTCCAACTCTCTGACACCAACTGGGTGTTCAACAATTCAATTTGATTCTGACACTAACTACCTGGATTAGCACAGACTCCTCAGGCTCAGCCCCACAAACTGCCCCCCACTTTGGACTCAGGTTCCAAGGCCCAGGTCCCCATACCTCTGACCAGCTGACTAATAATTGAGGTTCCCATGAGCCCCTCCTCACATTTGATAATTTGCTAGGATGGCTGGTAGAAGTCAGGAAGGCACTTTACTATTACCAGTTCATTAAGATGCAACTTAGGAACAGCCAAATGGAAGAGATGCATAACACATAGGGCAGGGTATGGGGGAAGGGTGCAGAGCTTCCATGCCCTCCCCAGACGCGTCTCCCTCTCAGGACCTTGAGGCGTGCACCAGCCCTGAATCGTATCTCTGAGGGATTTTTATGGAGGTTTCATTAAGTAGGCACAATTGATTAAATCACTGGTTATTGATGATTAACTCAATCTCCAGCCCCTCTTCCCTCCCCAGAGGTGGGAATGGAGAGGCTGAAAGTTCTAACACTCCTGTCACTCTGGGGATTCCAAGAGGTTTAAGAGCTCTGTGCCAGGAATAGGGGGCAGGGTGTGGGGTGTACATAGACCAAACGTCTATTTCCCATTGTACCACAGAATCCTTTTTTAAATTTCATTTTCTATTTGTTTGTTGCCGGTATGCAAAAATACAATTTTTTTTTATATTGACCTTGAATTGGGGACTTCTAAAATTCACATTTAATCCCAAAAGTTTGTATGTAGATTTTTCTATGTACACAGTCATATTGTCCCAGGCAGTGTTGGCCTCACCATGGTTTTGGGCAAGTCCTGGCAGCCTCCCTTTAGGTGTGGATTTCCTGCTAGCTAAGTGGCTGGCTCTGATTTCTAAATCTCTACTCCCCCTCCCCCAAAGCCTGAGCTCAGTTCATTGCTTCTGTCAGCTCCCCACCTCCCCTGTAACCCCTGGATCCTAGGACTCTGAACTGTCCTTTCTCCTGAGGCCCTTCCTGCTGCCTGTGGGATGAACTTATTCTGGAATTGCTGTTAGGGTGGACTCAGGAGGGGCATCCCAGAGTCATGTAGACCATTTGCTAAAGATGCTTTCCAGGAACTTCCCTGGCAGTCCAATGGTTAAGATTCCATGCTTCCACTGCAGGGGGCGAGGGTTCCACTGATCCCTGGTTGGGGAACTAAGATCCCACATGCTGCGGTGCAGCCCAAAACAAAAAACAAAACAAAAACAAAAAAGATGCTTTCCATGCATTCCTGGCAGTCCAATGGTTAAGATTCCATGCTTCCACTGCAGGGGGCGAGGGTTCCACTGATCCCTGGTTGGGGAACTAAGATCCCACATGCTGCGGTGCAGCCCAAAACAAAAAACAAAACAAAAACAAAAAAGATGCTTTCCCCATGCATTCCTGCAGCAAACGCTGGGCCTTTGGGTGCGGCCTGGGAGTTGGGGCCAGGGATGTTCTGGTGGGGGGGAGAGGGAAGTATTAGCCACCTCTTTTGCAACTCAAGGCTGTGTCCCTACACCTCCAGAAGGGTTTACAGAGTGGGGAGGAGCGTGAAACCACCAGCTGAGCTAATCCAGAGAGAGAGGGTCTGTCAGGACAGAATTGCAGAACTGAGACTCTTCTGTAGCCAGAGACTATAGGGAGGAGGCCAAGCTTTACCAAGCCATGAAGAGTCTATGTCGTGGAGAGGTGGCAAGGGCCCCAGACAAGAAATCAGGCATGACCCCTGCCAGGTGACTCCGAGAGGACAGGAGTTGGGCATCACTCCCAGACTTGGATCTGCTCACGTTCTGATGTCTGCAGGGACCTGAGCTGAGAGACAGGATGCACGGAGAGGTAACATAGCAAGAGAAACAGCCCCTTTTTCCTGGGAATTCGCTCACTTAACACTCCCTAAACTCTGTGCGTTATTTTTTATTAACCGCATTCTATAGATGAAGAACGCTGAGGCTCAAATCATTAAGGTAGCTCGCTCAAAGTCTCCCCAAATTAGTGGAAGACTCCCTGCAACTCACCTGTAACTCAAACAGTTATATTTCATTCCAAAGTCCTTGGTCCTTGGGGCTCCTGCACATGTGGCTTTGCCTGGTGGGAATGTTTGGTAGATTTCCTGAACCTCAAGGTCCCAAAAAGTGGCTGCCATTCCAAGAGGTATGACATGGATTCAGATTGATTCATGCTTGGTGAATGCCTAGTGGAGAGACTTGGCTGTTTGAGCCCCCTGCCTTCCCGAGTGGCACCAGCTGCCTCCCAGATCTGTGACCTGCTCCAGAACGTGTGAATGTGACCAGGAAAATTTTCTCTCTGGATCAGGAAAAAAAAGAGCGCCATGGCACAGATCTATCCAGTTCCGTAGATAGATGAATGATCCAAGCATTCAATTCAAGAAACACACATGTCTTGTTGAAACAAACCTAGAAGTGACTTTTCCAGCTGACACAAGAGCCCACTGAGTGTCCTTAGCACCCATTGCCCCACACAAATGCACTGAGCTATTCTGAGCCACTTCAAATACAATAGCATTCTAGTGGGTACCCCCAACCCTGTCTTCCATGTGGTCCCAGCACAGGGCTCCCTGAAGGTGAGGCCAGAGCAGCACTTTGGAAGAGTCACTTTGCCTCCTGGGTCTCCAGTCTCCCTCTCTCAGATCTGCATGCCGGTGTCACTCGGAGCTGTTGTTAGAGCTTAATAGGGCCTAAGGCAAACCCAAACCAGCAGGGCGAGGGATGGAGGTTTGACTGCAGGTGATGTTTTGTACAATCAGAGTTCTGAGACCAGAGAGAAGGGGACCCAGAGGGAGGTGGGCTCTCTCTTCCTGGAGAGCTTTTCCCCTAAAAGCTTTTGCCCTCACCCACTCCAGCAGTGCCCTTGGCTCAGGGCCTTTCCAGAATTAGGGCCGAGCACCTGGAGACCATAAGGGCCCTTTTAGTTTGGTCCCTGATGGGGCAACATGTCTCTGAATCAGCAGCTTGACTTTTTATGAAGTTGTATGTCACATTAACAGTTTTTGGTTTTGAACCATCCTGGGACAAACCCGAGTTGACTGTGATATAAAAGAAACAAACAAACAAACAAAAAAAACCCTTTAACGAACAATTGGATTCAATTTGCTAATTTTGTTTAGGATTTTCATTTATGTTCAGAAGTGAAATTGGTTCAAATTTTCCTTTCCTTTTACTATTTTTTATAAATTTATTTAATTTATTTATTTTTGGCTGCGTTGGGTCTTCGTTGCTGCAAGTGGGCTTTCTCTAGTTGCGGCGAGCGGGGGCTACTCTGTTGCAGTGCGCGGGCTTCTCATTGCAGCGGCTTCTCTTGTTGCGGAGCACTGGCTCTAGGTGCGCAGGCTTCAGTAGTTGTTGCTCCCGGACTCTAGAGCACAGGTTCAGTAGCTGTGGCGCACGGGCTTAGTTGCTCCGCGGCATGTGGGATCTTCCCAGGCCAGGGATCGAACCCGTGTCCCCTGTATTGGCAGACAGATTCTTAACGACTGCGCCACCAGGGGGCTTCCTTGTACTATTCTTATCTGGTTTAAGAATCAAGATCATACTTCATAAAATGAGTTTGCCAGCTTTCCTCCCTCTTCCCCACCCCCCTTTTAATTCTTCGACGGTGGAATGTTATTTGTCATGGGCTTTGGATCTTATAAATACACACCCCCCAGGTCTGCCTCCTCAGCAGGGGACTTGGCGCAGATGAGAAGACAGACACCTCTTTTCCTCGTTTGTAGTCTGTGTTGGCTTGTTTATGGGGCTTTTGCTGCTTCTGGGACCGCTCTGCGGGGAGCTAGCCATTTCCCTGAGGGAGTAGGCCTGAGAGGTGGGCCAGTGCAGGGGGTTGAAGTGGGGGAGGGAGCCTGGGGCCCCAGCACCCACTGCGGCCACCTGCCCTTCCCGGGGCCAGGCTCCTGTGAAGCCCCCTCTGGAACTCAGTCTGACTCTCCCCACGCAGGCACCATGTTCCGCAAGAAAAAAAAGAAACGCCCTGAGATCTCGGCCCCACAGAATTTCCAGCACCGCGTCCACACCTCCTTCGACCCCAAAGAAGGCAAGTTCGTGGGCCTCCCCCCACAATGGCAGAACATCCTGGACACACTGCGGCGACCCAAGCCTGTGGTGGACCCTTCACGCATCACCCGGGTGCAGCTCCAGCCCATGAAGGTGAGGCGGGCATCAGGGATGGCGGAGGGGGAGGATTCAGGCCATCCCCCTTCACAGAGGGCTGCTGGCAAGACCACACAGGCGCCTGAAGAACCACCTGATTTACCAGCTATCAGTTAGCCAGGATGTCTTCATTCCCTGCTCATCAGCCTCTCGTTCTCTCCCTGGGTGACCCAGGGAGGAGGGTCCTGGGGAGTCCCTCTCCACAGGGTGGTAGGGTTGCCAGATTTAGCAAATAAAAATACAGGATGCCCAATGCAGTGTGAGTTTCAGATAACAAATAATCTTTAAGTATGTCCCATGCAAAATTTGGACCTGCAGCCCCTGTGGGGCTGGGGGCTCTCACAGACCCAGGGGATTAAGTTGTCTGGGTCAGGAGGGGCTGATGCAAGAGCCTGATAGGGGTTGGGGTCAGGGCCCTGTCAGGGTTTGGAGGCCACAAAGCCAGTATGTGTGGAGGAGAGCCCTGGACTGGTGCGCGCCCCCTGGAAGGCCACACACAGATAGAGCTGGAGAACGGCAGCGGGCCCCAGGCAGGGCCCGCAGTCTCCCCAGCTCCCGAAGCTCAGCTGCCCGCACCATCAGGCGCGCTGGATTGAACGCCACGGCTACTCACCTGTCTGCCCTGCTAGGCCGTGGGCCCGTGAAAATGAGGCTTCTCCCTGTATCCGTCCGCCAGCACAGGCCTGGCCCGCCGTGGGCCCTGGGAAGGGGCTGAAAAATTAAGAATAGATGGATGACACAGCAAGCGAGGTCCATGGTGCTCCTCCCCAAGGCCCCCCGGGGAGGCTCTCTGACCTGGTCCCCGCCCAGCGCCCCCTCCCCGCCAGGCACCCCTGACAGGAGGCTCA